AAACATGTACATATGTATGTATATCTTAAATGGCGCTCAGAAAGAGAATTCCCAGACTTGTACATATATGTATGTACACACATGCATACAATGTACATGCATATATCCATACATACTTATGAACATAGATACATATGTCGCCGCCCTACATTTAGAGCTTATTCCTATCAATAATCTGAACACTGTAAATATGTATATACATATGCATATACTTTGTATGCAGAGTATTTTGTAGTGAAGCATTTATTATGTATGTATGTATGTTTACTCTTCGCAGTTTTTATTTCATTTTTTCTCGCTGTTTTCAAGGCCTTTCGGCGGCTTTTGCATTTGTTGTTGTTATTCTATGATATTATTCTCTTTGCTAAGCATGTACACACACGCACATGCACTAACGGAAATATATGTATATACAATATACTTGTATGTACATCATCGTCTCACGCATCATGTCGACAATTCTTGAGCTGTGGGCGTAGATTTAGAGTTAACCTAATGTCAATTGTGGCATACAGAGTTGTCAGGTTTTGCAAGGCATTCAACCTATTTCATCTGCCTCAATTAAATCACAATTTAAACAGTGGACGAGGGGCAAGGGGCGTGGGTTGTCGGGAGACCCTCTCAAGAGGGCATTGAATTGTGGGCATAGCCATACATGCATGTACATACATATGTACGAATTGACACGCACATACATATGTATGTTTGTATGTATGTATATCAAAAGTTTTATTAGACGCTTACATATGTGTATGTATGTACATACATATGTATAGTATATATTCTTGAACCGTATCCAGAGCCAAGTTAATGCTCTACCTTACATGTAAACTTATGTACATACATATACATATGTTTATATGCAAGGCATGTAGACATACATATGTACATAAATATGTATATTATATAGCTTCTAAATAAATCGGTCGTTGCATGGGTATTTATGTAGTCTTTATTTAGGTGAGGGTTTACTGCCGGCATTTGTTAATAATACAACTTTCAAAAGCATCTTAGAAAACAATATATGTACATATATGCATATACATATGTATGCATGTATATAACACATACATAACACATACAAATGCCCTCTGAAGCAGGCATGTATATATTCTATAAATATTTGTATATTGTATATAATCGTATAACCACATCAATATGCAATACTCGTATCATTTACTGGCATTTGGTTTAAGCAATTTTGGATGTAACTTTTTATGCAATTGGCATGCAATGATGCGCGATATTAATTACGTGATGAAATCAAGTTGTGCATCTTTCTAAGCATTTCAATTGCATGCAAATTACGGCCAAGACTCTTTGATCAGCCCTCAAATGATATGAAGTGAGAAGCTTTGCTTATTTATGAGTACTTGTAAGGAGCAGATGTTGAAGTAAGGATATAAAGAAAAATAACAAAAGAGAACAGACTTTACAATTGATCGTGATTTAGTTCAATAGAAGTACCAACATTTTCGATATATCGAAAAAACCTGAGTCGACTTATTCTGCTCAATTGACTTTTTGTTATTTTACTCTATTTATTTGTAACCAACGATGTTTTTTTTAGCTACGTTTCATAGATTATTTTAACCATAATAGTTATTGTATATTTCGATTTGGATTATTTTTAAAGCATCCCTCTAATTTCTCTCAGTGTTTGTTGATTACCCAAGCCCATGATTGTATATTTATATATTTTTCTTTACTTAATAAATACCTGATTGACTGGATGCGGTAATTAGCGTTGATTGATTTACATTTTTTATTTTAATTTATTTTTAATTTTATTTTATTTGGATGTTAGCGCATTTGCGTACACTTTGGCGTTTAATGTTAGTGTTAAACTTATGATAATGCGCATACGCAGTGTTGTACAGTTGCAAAAGTATCTGTTGCAAAATTGTCTTAAAAAGCCACAACAACAACTACAACAACAACAACAACAATAAAGACAACTACATGCCGTACTATTACGCAACTTTCGCTGTCAATTGGCATTGTTGTTGTTGTTTCTGTTGCGTCTGCAGCTTGTGAAGTTCGAAATGAAGTCGACTTGTCGCAAAAGATGGACATAAGCTGTAACTGGATGCCCGACTGCAGAATACACTATCAAAGTTTTGCAGCTTTGTGATCGACTACTTATTTCGACTTGACCCCAAAATAATAAAAGCTAAGAATTATTATGTACACTATCAAAACATTGTCATCAGCAAAATAAAATACTTGGCCGTTGGCGTTGATTTTATATTTCTGGTTGTTGTTGTTATACCCTGTAAACATTGCAAATGAATGCCAAACAGGGTATAATGATTACAAGTACACCTATTTATATGCGTATATATATCATATATGTGCATAGTCTTGATCGGGTCTGTAAGTATTGTTATATTGCCTTTTTTTCTCAATTCATAATCCTTGCTTTCTTCTTAGCACTAATTTGAGTTATCGAGCACGTCTCTTAGTACAGGGTATCGCCAAGTCAGGCACTCTGTTGGTTTCCCTTGGTTTTATTGGTCGGCGAATGGGGCATGGGGCACGGGGCACGGGGCATGGGGCACGGGGCACGGGGCATGGGGCATGGCGTGCGCCAAGCATCGCTGACTATCATAAACATTGCCAGCGGCTCCGGTTGTGGCTCCGGCTGAGACTCTACTCCAAAAAATCGAAAAGCCAGTTCTGTTATGCACACTGGGCCCGCCGTGGGGAAGTGAAAAGCTAGCTGAGCAACACTGGGCCAACTGTCTGAGAGCTGCGACAACTACAACAATAGCGGCAACAACAAAAACAACAACAAAAAGCAAGCTCTTGATGTATGTAGATTCGTGATGCGTCTATTGTTTTGTAGATGAGACATAAGATTATGATAATATCTTAAGTAAGAGCTCGTATTTTTGGATAAATTTAAGAGTCGTTTCGCTTTTGTTTTATAATAAATAGATTAGTTAAAAAACGGCTGCATTCCATGCTTTTTAACTGCCCATAACTGCGACTATGATATTATTCTATTGATTAAATTGGGATAGAAAATTTCATTTGAATTCCTTACACTTGATTTTAGTTTTTGTTGGAATGCATCTTTCCAGTTTAACATCAAGTCTTCCACATTTGAAAGCTATTTCGATACGGATTACCATTTTGGGCAACAAAAGATATTTGCACTTATTTTTTGATTTCCATTTTAATTGAGAAAACTGAAAAGCAGTCAATCGACATTAGCTAAGACTTCATACATATATGAGCATGTCAACTTGTGCCTAGCCAATTAATTTCCTCCTTTGCATTTATTTGGCAATGGTATTTGTGCAGCTGGGTTTCTTTTTGGATAGTTGGGAAAACCAATCGATAATTATCGATAAGCAAATGGCCGGGGCCAGCTATCTAAATGGCCAAAGCGACCTGTGTGCCAAATGCGTTGACCAACACTTAACATTTCCTGAACATTTCCTGCACTTAACCCAGCTTTGGCTGTGTATTGCACGAGCAGCTGTGCCTGTATTTCCGCTGCGCTGACAAATCGCTGCCAAATGACATAAGCACTGGGCCAACACAGTAAAAAAAAAACCGAATCATGCTCATAAAAGGCAACAACTTGGGCTTTAACCGACCGCTTCCAGTTTGGCTTTTCACGGTCAATCGCCGCGCGTTAACCGAATGTGAGAATTCGGTTTCAGTTTCAGTTTTTGTCGCTCTTAATTAACCCAGCACCCACGCCACGTAGTTTTTGCAGTTCGCAGTTCAAGAGCTGCGAAATCGAGCAGCAGCATCATGACCTTATACTATGAAGTGTGTATAACAATCTCATAGATTGTTTATCTCATAGATAAATAGGTAGGATCATTTTATTTTCGAGTGTGAATTTTGTAGAATAAATATATTTTAGCGAGTGCATTTTATAGAGAGCGTACCTTTTAGAGCGTGTATCTGACAGAATGTGTATCTTTGAGTACGTCTATCTTGTAGATCGCTCTGCTCTAAACATGTATCTTATAGATACACTCTTATAGATACACTTTAACACTTGCATCTAAGTTGAAACCTTAGACACGATTTCATCTGATAGATCGCACTTTTCAAAAAGTTTGTATCTTATAGATGCGAGTATTTAAAAGATCGTGTATCTTATAGAAAGTGCAAGTTATAGAAAGTGTATTTTATAGAGTGTGTATCTTGTCGATCATTATTCTTGGCCATAACTTTACCTGATAGATTGCGCAGTTCATATAGTGTGTATCTTATGGATGGTTATTTTAATAAAATGTGTATCTTATAGATACATTGATTGATTGATATATCTCATTGAATATTTTACTTAAGTTGGTATTTGATCACCACGTCAATTTCTAACTGATGTACTTTTGTGATCGTGTACCTTAAAAAAGGTTTATTCGTGAAAGCATGTATCTTATAGATTGTGAATATTATAGAAGATACAGCTCGTTTAATTCACTCGATGTGTACTTTATAGCGCTTCTGTCTAACTCATTAAATTAATATCGCTCATGTTTTTTTTTTGTAGAATGTGTCTCGTAAGGTGTCTGTATGTTATTTATAGTCAACCCCCATGACACTTCCACCTTATTTGAAGTAAATTTGCTCATGACCTTAGCCTTTAAAGTTTGTATCTTATAGAGCGCACATCTTATAGATACATGCTCATATTTATATATATATATATATATATATATGGTATAGCCCATTGACACATGCATTAATTTAAAGTTTAAGCTAAATAAAATTAATGGCAATAAATGCGCAAATGCTTAAACGTGTGTGAATTGTTTGTCTGGGTCTGAGTGTGTGTGTGTGTGTTTGTTGTGTGTGTGTGTGTATAAATGTATACCAATGCACGATTGTGGGCTAAAAAAAACTGGCTTACCTTCTCTGCTCATTGTTGTACAGTCAACTGTTGTTGTTGTCGTTGTTGTTGTTGTTGTTGCTGTTGCTATTGTTTCGCTTATTTATTGTTAACGCTTTGCCAGCGACAACGACAGGTTGTTAGTATTTCGATATTGTTGCTGCTGTTGTTGTTGTTGTTATTGCTGTTGCACACATTTCATTGCACTGTCACTTCACTGTGGGGAAAATGCAAATATATATAGATACACATATATGTACAGATAGAGATACAAGCGGGTATGCTCGAGATATATTTTGTTTTGTGTCGCCCCGTGGGAAAATTATTAATTTAATCGTACTATCCTGGACAAACCATCTTTCAAGCAGTCGAATATTTAAATAGTGTGATATGCAACCACTATCCACTTATTTTCCACGCTTGCCAGTGAAATACACCGCTTTATTATGCAGCTTTCAAGCTTTGGGTTACGCGTTAAATATCAATCAGACAGAACAGTCAATCAATCAATCAGTCAGTCAGTCAGTCAGCACATATAGCTAAATGTATGTGTGTTTATCTAGCCTTATATATATAGATTAATATGCATTAAAAATGTATCAATGACGTCTTTATTTAAGCAAATGCGTTGGTGTAGTCTGTCTGGGCGTCTGTGTGTGTGTGTGTGGAATCGTTGGCTTACTGGTTCTGGCCAAAACGATTGCCAACACACACACACACACGCACACACGCACGCTCAACAGACACACACATGTGTGTGATATAATCGCTTGGCATGAATGAAAGGCGTTGCAGATTTTCACACAACATTTACAGGCAGCCAGCGGTGCAGGGCGGGGCGTTGCGGGGGCTGTCAGCCAACAATGGGCAAAGAGAGCCAAACTCATTTTTTTTTTCAGCCAAATCGGCCATAATCTTGGCTAAGGCTAATAATAGCAGCAGGTTTTTGGCTTGGCTCAAGCTGAGTTATGCGCCTACACACACACAAACACACACACGCCCACAAAGGGCAGCTCTTGTTAGAAGCATTTGCTGTACAGTGTACGCTATTTAACACATTTTTCGTTATTTTTTTTTTCGCTCGACACTCGCTCAAACGCTCAACTGGCCAAATTCGTATGACACTCACGTAATACGCTAAAAATAGTTGAATATATATGTATATATAAATGTGCTTTTTTTTTCGAGTTATTTTTTTTTTTCAATTTTATTTTCTTGTTATTGTATTGGTGTGTGTTTTTGTATTTGTATTCGTTGTGGGTTTGTAGCGCGACTGCGAGGCGCACGCGTCGCGATTTCAGCTCGAACTGATCCAGCGCTGAGCGAAGCGCACCTGCGTTTGGTCTAAACTGGTCGAAATTGGTCTAAAAATGTAGCCAAAACCTGTTTTAGCGCAGCGATCAGCTCACCTGAGAGAGGCAGGCAGAGCAAGAGAGAGCAAGAGAGAGAGAGAGACAGAGAGAGAGAGAGAGAGCTAGAGGGAGAGACTGATTTAGTGCGCGTCGCTGGGTCTGCACTTTGCACTTTGCTGCCACATTTTGTTGTCAAACTGCATTTAATAACCGTTAACCGAAAGTTCTGCAACACGTGCACCGGGTGGGTGATGGGGGGGTGATGGCGGGGTGCGGTACTTGTAACGGGGCAGTGCTCACCTTTCACGCCCGGGCACAAGCCGGAACAGGGGCCACTTCATTAGACGCTCTGGTTGTCAGCGTGCAACACTCGACCAGCTGCCGCACGTGACTTGCAATGCGACGCAACGGTGGGGAGAGAGAGAGAGGGGCGGGTAGGCGGTTATGGCAAAGGGTGTTGCAGCTGGGTGGAAAAGCGTTGTCAGGCTTAACGTCTAATTTGCATCGCGGCGGCTGCCTGGCCAAAGTCATTACGAAAAATGCCAGCGGATGGCAACGACAATGAGCACAGACCCCCCCTCCCCCCCACGCTTCCCCTTCCCCCTTTCTCTATCTGTGTGTGTGTGTGTGTAAATATTGACCACACTTGCAGCAGCTTAATGCAGCATCAGTGAGACTACCCCACAAGCTAGCTGCAGGCATGTAAATAAAAATTCCCATTCAAATTTATGCGAACAGCTCGCGGGCAAAACCGCAAAAAAAATAAAATAAAAGAAAATAGAAGAAAAAAACCGATAGACGAAGGGGCGGACGGCGGGGCGGACGGACAAATGGTGGTTAAAATAATATGGCGTAGTTTATAGTTCCGGCTACACTGTGCGAAATAAAGTATAAAATAAGCAGGAAGAGAGCCTGAATTAAGACAAATACTCTTTGTTTCTTGCCAAAAAGGATCTGAGAGTCTAGATAGTTTAAAGAAAATAGTTATTTTGACTAGTTTTATTGTCTAAGGTGGTTAACTATATCCTAAATTGTACTCAAGTATATATTCCGAGCTTCAGACAGACGGACAAACCCCATATACTCTTTTTATATGAGATGGAGATGCACGCAAGGACGGTGCTTTTGGGTAATTCCGGAAAATCGCGGAAAATGGGCGTGTGAAACTATTTGGCCTTTCATTCGATCAGCTTCAAACTAGTTTTTAAACCAATCAAAAACGTTGGGAGGCTGTAATGTTGTCAAGAATAAACATTTTCAGCTTCTTTTACGCATGTCAGCCCTTAAGCTAGTGCAGGCGAGTTTTAATGCTCGTTTTCTCTCAGTGTAGCCAATTTTTCTTTTTCACCTCCTCCTCCTCCATTTGCGCTCTTTTACTTCGATTTAATGCAGCGAAAAAAATATGCATAACTATAACTTAAATTGCAGCTTTTATTTGTGGCTTAGGCAAAAGTTGTTGCGTCTGCAAGGCTGCCTCAACGTCAATGCCACAATTTGCCGCGGGCTGTGCGTGTGCGTATGTGTGTGTGTGTGTGTGCGTGTGTGTGCGTGTGTGTGCGTGTGTGCGTGGGCAATTGCCATTGTCACAGCGACACAGCTGCGTGTGCAATGTCATAGCTGGGGACGAGTCTGCGTCCGCGTCCGAGTCCGAACGACGCCCAAGGTACATGTGTGGCATGCCTCAAGTGGCAAGCACTTGTACATATTTTGCCAGGTCAGATTGTGAGCTTTTCGCTGTTTATCTCTTGTGTTTTTTTGTTTTTTTTTTGTTTTTACTCTCTTTGTCGCTTAAAGAAAGTCGTAAAAACTTTTGCTGCTGCTGCGGCTGCTGTCATAAAAGTTGCATAAAACTACAGAGATTTTTCTCTTGAACAATGTGTTGCACACAGTGCGGCATGTATGTATATATACATATATGGGTACTTGCAACTTTAAGACTGGGCTGCGCATTAACTTTTAAGCTTTGACGATGCGTCAAATGGCAAATCATTTGCACGTCATGTGTATGCGGCAATCGGAGTGGGAAAGAGAGAGAGGGGAAGGGAAGGGGCTGCGACGTGAACTTGCCGCTTGGCATGTGTCTCGGCCTGGATTTAATTTAGATAAAAGCTTTGCAACCACCCTCAGACCACGACGACAGATAATGCACTGGAAATCAATTCCATAAACACTTGCCAGCACAACCTTTGCCAGCGACGACAATTTATTTTCATGCAACCATCCCTACACACACACACCCCTACACACACACACCCTTAAACCGTATTAAACCCATTGAAATTGAGGAAAGTGGATCAACAATTTTACGCAGTTTCAAGCTAATTTCTTTGCAGCAAAGTCTGATTTGTATATCCTTATAATCAAGGCTGCAAACGTCCAGGAAAAAGTGACTTAAGAAGTATAATAATATACATACAATAATTAAAATTAATAAAGCATAATAATAGCAATAATTCTCATAAAAATATAAAAAAAAGTAATTATTGTAATAATAGTATAAATAATAACAATAATAATGATATTAATGCAAATAATACGAATAAAATAAAATAAAAATAATAATAATGATAATCAATAATAATAATAATAATAATAATAATAATAATAATAATAATAATAATAATAACAATAATAATAATAATAATAATAATAATAATAATAAAAATAAAAAAATAATAATAATAATAATAATAATAATAATAATAATAATAATAAAAATTATAATAATAACAATGTTCAATAATAATGTAAATAGAAACTAATTCTTATTATAACAATAATTATTATTCATTAATATTACAAAAATGTTATAATATTATTATTATTTTGTTTAAATATGTAAAATTTAATACATATTTTTATATACTTACCCTAATGGATTAGCTACGCATAAATATTGTTTGGAAGCTTTAAAAAAAAAGCTCAATTCGTTTTATAGTAAATAAAATAACGTTTAAATATTCATTGACATTTATTGATTGAATTTGATAAGGTTTGTTTTTGTTATGTTTTTTTTGTTGCTGCAGCATGGTTTTTTGTTTTGTTTTTTGTTTGTTTTTCGTTTCGCACATACATTAATGATGTATTTAAGTTAAATTTTAAATTGATTTTCTTTTGCTTGATTTGCTTTGATTATGCTGTTGTTGCTGCTGTTTTAAAACTGTTGCACACACACTTATCGTTAGTTAAGAGTTGTGGAATTTTGCGCTATTTAGTTAAAATTTTAAATATTACATATATTTAATTGGAGTTTAGGAACCTGTACGTGGCTCTTTAGGAGTTCTCATACACATAAAGCACACATTTAAAAATGATATAGTATCTCTCTAACTGTCGCTAGGTTTTGTTTTGTTTTGTTTTTTTTTTTTTTTTTTTTATTATATTATCTCGGCGGTAAACGTTTGCTTTTGTCTTTGGCTTATAAGTAAAATATTTGTATAAACCATAAAATAAATAACATTTTTATAATATGTCTGAGTGTGTGTTTGTCTGTGTGTGCGTGTGTGTATAAAATTTGTATAGGTAAATCAGGACTGAATGCTCGGTAAATAATCAAAAATAGTTTTCTATACAAGTTTGCCTTCATTGTTTGTCGTCATCTTTTGTTGCTTGTATATAGCATTCATATGTTTGTTTTTGTATAAGTTCTTTATATAGTATAATTTTGTAGGAGGGCTTATTGTAGTTTTTTGTTGCATTTTGTTACCAGCTTAACAATACTATATTTCATATTTTTCCACACAATTCTCCTTCAACATTTCTTTTGGCCTTGGCTTAGCATATTTGCATACTATTTAATATATGCTCGGTTCTGATCTCTTCTCATTTTGTCTTTGTAAATGCCTTTGGTTTCTTGGTTTGGCCAATTTTTGCATTTTTTATTTATGGTTTATTTTGTTTTTGTATTTGTTTTTCGGGTTTTTGCAATTAATTGTTATCTAGTGCTCGTTATTTTATGTAATATGCATAATTTGATTTGATTTATTCTTGTTGTGTGTGTGTCCGTGTGTGTGTGTGTTTCTTTATACGATATAGGAAATTATTATAGATAGGTACACATATCATCAACACAGTAGTTGGTTACTTTACTTAGTATAGCAAACATGTTGCCTATTTATTGTTTATATGCATATATTTACTTAGGTATACGTTTCATTAATTAACTATTTGTTACTGAGGACTGGAAGAGAGCAGTTTTGCAGTTATTTCAATGGGAGAAGAACTACGAGTGGAACAGCGGAAAGTGGTACAGTTAAAGGTGGATCTGTTGCAAGTGAAGCAGCTGGGAATGAAGAAATTGCAAGCAAAACAGCTAGATATGAAACAATTGTAAGTGAAACAGCTGCAAAGGGAACAATGAATGTGAAACACTCAAAGTGGAACACTGAAAATCTACATGTAGAACATTGAAAGTGAAACCTTCAAAGTGGAACACTGAGAGTGAAACTCTCAAAGTGGAACACTGAGTGTGCTAGTGGAACACTCAAAGTGGAACACTGAGAGTGAAACTCTCAAAGTGTAACATTGAAAGTGAAACCCTCAAAGTGGAACACTGAATGTGATACACTGAATGTGGAACAGCTGAAAGTGCAACAGCTTCAAGAGGAACAGTTGTAAGTTGAACCATCAAAATGGAACACCTGGAACTGGAACAGCCAAAAGGCACACAGCGAAAAGGCGATAAGCTGTGAGCTGAACAGTAAAATGTGAATACTGAAAGAACAGAAGCAGCTAAAGCTTAACGTGGAACAGTCAAAATTGGAGCTGCAGAGAGTAAAGCAGCTAGAAACACTGAAATTAGAGCATATGAAATGTAACAACAGCAGTTGGAATAGAATGAAATAGAACAGAGAGGAAGCACGAGAAAATAAAATAGATTTTGCACTCATAACAAATGTGAAGTGGAAAAATAAATAGACTAAGATCAAGGGTATCACATATCAAGCCTTTCTATCGCACCTAGTATGCTACCTAAAGGTTTAGGCAGCTTTGGATTACATTTCGATGTAATATGCGGCAATTCTAAGATCAGCCAGGGTTGTCATTTAATATTGTTGATGTGTGTCAACCCTAAGTATTTAACTGAATCAATGTTTATAGATGAAAATCGAAAAAGATTGTGCAAAGCGGCCAACAAAAAAAATATATATTAGCTTACAGACTAAATATTTTGCATTATTCATATAGTTTATATATGTATATATATATATGTATATATATAGTACATATTTATATTTTTAATATAATACTCATTCATTTTGTTATTAATATTAATGCAATTTTAACGCATTCTCGAGTCGAGATTTTGTTTGTAAATATTAAAAATATTTCAGTTTTTTTTTTTAATGTAATTTGACTTGGATTTTGTTGTTGTTCTTTTTTTGTGCTTTTAATTAAATGTTGCTTGTATGTTTTTTTTTTAAGTGTTGCGCCTCATTTAAAACTGGTTCTCTGTTGCCTTGCGAAAGGTATAAAAAGTTTGCTACAGTTTACAGTTAAGAATTATAGTTTCAACACAATTCTTACTATCCATTAACATATATGATATATGTATATATATATATATATATATATGTATAGCTAGGTGAGTGTATATAGAGAGCATTGTATATAGTACAAAATTTACAATAGAAGCGAAAACTTCTTTAAGGTTTCGAAATCAAAAGATTGGTTTAAAGGCTAAAAAATGTGTTCAGGATGGTTTACAGGAATTGTTTGTTTGTTTGTTTGTTTGTTTGTTTAAAGAAGCCTCAAGTTATGTGTGTTTAAAAAAGCAAACAGCTGAAGGCTACTTTAGGCACTCACTGTGCCCACAGTGCTGTGTGCAAGCGTGTGTCCAATAAATTTATACAAAATCTGTGCTCAGAAAATAGTTTACAAATATTCTATAGACTTAGTTACACTGTCCTTTGGGCGTGATATATATTCATTGTATACATTCATATGAAGTTTATTCTTTTTCCTTTTTTGTTTTTTTTTTCTCTTTTCTAGTTATTTATTTATTTTTTGTTTCTTTGTAAATAGCTTTGTGTGTGTGTGTGTTGAGTGTGAAGTTTGTTTGTTTTAAAGAAGCTCGGAGTTACGCATATTTTGATTGTTTTAAGGGTTTTTTCCACTGGCGTTTCAAATAGTTTCGCATTTCGTTTATGATTTATCGATTATCGATATTTAGCTATAGCTTAAATTGACTAAAAAGAATTTGTGTTGTTTTCAATATATACTTGCAAGTCCAAGACTCTGTACTTGAAGTTAGTTTTCTACAGATTAAAGCGGAATGTGTTATAGGCTCGGAACGACTCTTGAATGCAGGAGCTCCTCTTCGCCTCTTCGCGGCTTGAACTTGTTGGGAATTGCAAGCTTTAAGCTGCGATAAAAGCAAAAAACAGAGTAACATGTTTTGCCAGCTAAAGATCGTAGCTCAGCTTGGAATTGAAAATCATTTGTGGATAGAGCACATCTGGAAAATAAATGGACTCTACAAGTCGTAGCTTCGGTTAACCGAAACTGTCTTCATATTAATTATTTTACGTGTTTTTATAAGTCGGTAAAGTCTTCAAAACGCAGCTGGGTGCCAATGTCTGTGCTTGATAAATTCTATATGTGATGCAGGATTTGTTGTCTGCTCAATTGTGACAATTTCAGCAAACTCTACGCTTCTACATAGGATAGTCCCTAAAAGAGGTGTGTGTGTATGTGTGTGTGGTTGTGTTTGTATTGGTTTCGTAGCAACGTAAAGTCTAGAACAATTGGGTACGAGTTTCGGGTATGCACCCATGCCCCGTCAATTATTAGTTATGCACCATTTGAATTTCAATTTGCTAAACATTTACAAACAGATTGGGCTTACCGTCAAACAACTACATTACATAAATACATAAATACATAAATAGATACATACATATACGCGATTGTTTTGTTTACCTTATTATAAATTTCTAGTTCGGGGCCAGTAAAGAGGAAGCGAAAAAAAATATGTGTCTATCGTTTATCATTGAATCATTGAATGCAATTTGATTGCATGCTGACAATTTTTTGAGATACGTTTTTCAAACGATGCTCACCTGGACTCAACTTATTAGAATCAATTGATGAAGCGCGCCTTCTGTTTGCGCACAAAGTCCTGCGCCTGTTTGTCATTAACGCGCAGCTCCAGTATCTGCAAAATGGGATTGCCTGCAAGTAAAAAGGGTATTTCATGATGCAAAGTCTGCAAATCGTTTCGAAAGTGAACCGGTTCATATTCAGGAATAACAAAATTTTGTACGGAAATGGAAGAGTTGTCGAAAAGTAATTAAATTTCCTGCAAACGAAAAACGATTTTTTAATCCCGGTTCGAAAAACTAATTTTGATTACCATGAATCGAACCTTGAATCGGTTCAGTTATCTAAAAAGAAACTGGATTTCAAACCAGAGAGAAATATCAAACGGAACAGAGTCCAAAAAGTTAAGCCATTTCTGGTATGGAAGTGGAAAACGCGTATTTAATCCCGGCTCGAATTTGGGAATTACAATTTATGATTATCAAGAAGCGACCCTCGAACCGGAGGGTCTTTCAAATCGTCAATCGATTAGGGTTGTATAAAAAGCAAACGAAAATTGTGATTCCTGGTTCAAATCTGCCTGGAGCTTAAACGGAATCAGTTTTAACTCGAAATTTCAACCAGCTTTTTTCATATGAACCGAAATTTAACCTGACTGAGCTGCTTAACAAAACAAAGAAAATTGGACTTCCGCTTCCGACCGGAATTAAAGAAACGTTTTTCGTTTTGAGTCCGGAAATTCAACTGGTTTTTAGAAAACGAATCAAACTGTTATCCTTTTCACCGCCGTAAGCTCTGAATATGAAAAATTTAACAAATTGCAATAAATAATAATAATATACAAATATCTTAATAAAATAGTGTCGTATTTTTGTTTAAGATTGGGTTCAATACCAAATGTGCGCCTAAGCATGTGGATAACCAGGTTCACATCGGCTTAAATTGTGAACGTCATCATTGCGGCATTAGATACTCACATTTATCCTTTTGCTGCATTAGCGGCAACTCGATTTGCTTGAGCCCATGGAAGTTATCCACGCTGGTGCTGTAGTCGGCAACGCCGGGTATATTGCCCAGGGCCAGATACGCCTCGCCGCCAAAATCATTTGCCGTAAGCACATCGTGATCCATGACCGTGAAACAAATCATGGCGCCATCGGTGAGGCACTGCTCCAGCGTCACCGAAAACTCGAAGCACTCATCGAAAATGGGATTCAAAGTGCGCTGCAATTGGAAATCATGTTTAAATCTGAGAACTTCCTTCTGTTAAGCTCTTCACATTACGCACCTTGTGCACATTGGTTTGCTGTTCCATGCAGTGCAGAAAGACGCGGCGGGGAAGAAGCTCGATGACGACAAATGGATCACTGAAGCCATTCGGATCCAGGGGCACCACGTCCCGGGCATGCAGCACCTCGACGCACAGCGAGTCGTGATTGAAGTAGGCGCGCACGGCCAGGGAGCCGTAGGGACCCGGACTGACGGCCACCAATTGCTCACGCAAGCGATTCAAATAGAACATATCAATGAGACGATCCGTGTCCGTTTTGTGGAACTGCAGACGCTGCTCGATGCGCCAGAAATCCTCCGTGTGCAGGCACTCGAGCAACAGGCCCTGGCCCTCGGCATGAAAGAAGTCGACGAGCAGCTGCAGCGCCTCGTACAGACGCTTGTGAAAATGCGTCGGTTTGTCCGTCTCATCGCCGGTCTCCATTTGGCGCGCCATCTCGCCCAGCACCGTCTTCCAGATGAAGCGCAGCGAGCGATTAAAATTCTTGGTGAGCAGCGCGCTATTCAGCGCAGCCAGATGACAGTCCAGGTACTCGAGCAGCGGCACAATGGCCTGATTGGCGGGCAGCGAGTCCGGCGACCAGGCCAAATGGAATACGGCCTTCTGCAGGGACATTTGCATGAGCGGCGCCAGCTTGGACAGTATGCGCTCGCAGCGATTCTCCATGTGCGTTAAGCTGGACTCGAGCAGATTGTCGGCGGACTCCTCCAGGGGCTGCTCATCCGAACGAAATTCGGCCAGAGTGCGACGCACATACTCCACATTGTTGACCGTAACGCACATATCATCGGAGCAACGGAACGGACCCTGCTGCTCGTAATAGCCGCTGTCCGCCAGCGTTGTGTGTATCAGATCGCAATAGTGCATCGCGGCCGAGCAGACAACATCGATCAGCTGCGATTCGAGCATAATGGCCGTATCCTCATCGGGCCAATTGATTACCTTCCAGAACTCCTTGATGTTCAACAGCGTGCTGGCCGTGTCCACCGAGGAGCTGCTGTAGCGCACAATGCGCTCACCCTCGCAAATGGCATCCATGCGAATGGCAGCTCGGATGCGTTGCAACGCCTTCGCCTTGCTAACCATCATCCAGCGCTCAAAGGTGGGTATGAACCATTCGTGGCTGTTGCTCAATGCCAGCGGCTTCTCCGGCGGTTGGGGCTGGGCGGACAGATGCCTCTTTAGCTGACAGAATTCCTGCAATGCCAGAAACAGTTCGAATGGCTTTGTATCCACCGGCTCCGCGTCGCCCTCCAGCACCGCATACTGTGAGAGATTCATTCGCACGCCGGGCACCTGCCCGGCAGCCATCCGAGTGTACACCTCCTCGCCAACCATCGCATCGTACTGCTTGTAGATAATGCTGAAGTACTGAATGCCATTCGTGCTGCGAACAAAACAGAATACCAAAGAGATAAATCAGATAAATGTGCGAACACATGCTTGAGCTAGGTACAGTGAGAGCTCGATTGCTTTGCTTATGGGGGTGGGAAATTTAAACTATACAGGATATTTGAGGGTACAATTTCTACATGAATTTTGACCAGGAATAGTGTTGCCAGGTTTTGATGCCAAATTGATCTAGAGGCAAAACCAAGAGAAAAGAACCAAACCTCGTGAAAATCGGATGAGATTTGACCGAGTTATGGGGGTGGGAAATTGTGAACTATGTCTATATAGAATTTTTGAGTGTACTTTTTTGACATGAATTTTGACCAAAAATCATGTTGCCAGGTTTTGATGCCAAATTGATCTAGAGGCAAAACCAAGAGAAAAGAACCAAACCTCGTGAAAATCGGATGAGATTTGACCGAGTTATGGGGGTGGGAAATTGTGAACTATGTCTATATAGAATTTTTGAGTGTACTTTTTTGACATGAATTTTGACCAAAAATCATGTTGCCAGGTTTTGATGCCAAATTGATCTAGAGGCAAAACCAAGAGAAAAGAACCAAACCTCGTGAAAATCGGATGAGATTTGACCGAGTTATGGGGGTGGGAAATTGTGAACTATGTCTATATAGAATTTTTGAGTGTACTTTTTTGACAAGAATTTGGACCAAAAATCATGTTTCCAGGTTTTGATGCCAAATTGATCTAGATGCAAAACCAAGAGAAAAGAACCAAACCTCGTGAAAATCGGATGAGATTTGACCGAGTTATGGGGGTGGGAAATTGTGAACTATGTCTATATAGAATTTTTGAGTGTACTTTTTTGACATGAATTTTGACCAAAAATCAGGTTACCAGGTTTTGATGCCAAATTGATCTAGATGCAAAACCAAGAGAAAAGAACCAAACCTCGTGAAAATCGGATGCGATTTGACCGAGTTATGGGGGTGGGAAATTGTGAACTATGTCTATATAGGATTATTGAGTGTACTTTTTTGACATGAATTTCGACCAAAAATCATGTTGCCAGGTTTTGACGCCAAATTGATCTAGAGGCTAAACCAAGAGAAAAGAACCAAACCTCGTGAAAATCGGATGAGATTTGACCGAGTTATGGGGGTGGGAAATTGTGAACTATGTCTATATAGAATTTTTGAGTGTACTTTTTTGACATGAATTTTGATCAAAAATCATGTTGCCAGGTTTTGATGCCAAATTGATCTAGAGGCAAAACCAAGAGAAAAGAACCAAACCTCGTGAAAATCGGATGAGATTTGACCGAGTTATGGGGGTGGGAAATTGTGAACTATGTCTATATAGAATTTTTGAGTGTACTTTTTTGACAAGAATTTGGACCAAAAATCATGTTTCCAGGTTTTGATGCCAAATTGATCTAGATGCAAAACCAAGAGAAAAGAACCAAACCTCGTGAAAATCGGATGAGATTTGACCGAGTTATGGGGGTGGGAAATTGTGAACTATGTCTATATAGAATTTTTGAGTGTACTTTTTTGACATGAATTTTGACCAAAAATCAGGTTACCAGGTTTTGATGCCAAATTGATCTAGATGCAAAACCAAGAGAAAAGAACCAAACCTCGTGAAAATCGGATGAGATTTGACCGAGTTATGGGGGTGGGAAATTGTGAACTATGTCTATATAGGATTATTGAGTGTACTTTTTTGACATGAATTTTGACCAAAAATCATGTTGCCAGGTTTTGATGCCAAATTGATCTAGATGCAAAACCAAGAGAAAAGAACCAAAACTCGTGAAAATCGGATGAGATTTGATCGAGTTATGGGGGTGGGAAATTGTGAACTATGTCTATATAGGATTATTGAGTGTACTTTTTTGACATGAATTTTGACCAAAAATCATGTTGCCAGGTTTTGATGCCAAATGGATCTAGATGCAAAACCAAGAGAAAAGAACCAAACCTCGTGAAAATCGGATGAGATTTGACCGAGTTATGGGGTGGGAAATTTTGAACTGTGTTTATATAGGATTTTCGAGTGTACTTTTTTCACATGAATTTTGAGTTAGGGGGGTGGGAAATTTTGAACTATGTCTTTATAGGATATTTGTGGATAAAGGATTTTTTGATTTAATTTAAGCGGCTTTCTTGTCGTTTGTTTTTTTGTTTATGTGTTAATAGGGAATATTTCCTAATATCGAACATTTCCCAGAGAAGAAACAATAAAACGAATCTTCCTTGTCCCCTCAAGAGACCATTCACTGTAGTTGCTGGCCAGGTGCTTAGGAGACCTCACAGTTAAGCTGAAAAGCGATAGCGCTGCAAATAAGAGCTACAAGTTTCGCTTTCTAACAAATTTTAAAGACTGCAATTAGCTTTTGGGGATTGCTTCAGCTAAATTTGCTAAAGCCACACTCAACACTTTCGCTGGCCAGGAGTTGCGAAAATGCAACCCACTCGCTAGGGACACGCTCCGTTTTAAATGGCCCATCAAGAAATGCCAGTCTGTTCGTCTTCGGGACGGGAACGTGAGCGTATTTTTATGACAGCGCAATTAATTGGAGGCTTATGTGTTGTAAGCCACTTGATGTGGTCATTAGGAACCTTTTATGGCTGCGCTAACTAACAAATATGCGACTGATTAGATGGGTTGCGACTTATTTATTTTCTCCGTTCGACAACGCTGTTCAGTGTTGTGCAACGTGAGTTGGGCACAGTGTGTGTACTCAAGTCAATCAGGCTAACAGAGGAGTGTTGTGTAATTGCCAAGTGTAAAGTGTTAACTTGTACGAGCTCAATGAGCTAGACCTGGCTGACAGAGGGCTTAATATGACAATCGATAAATCGATTACGTATGCCAGAGTATTGTTGTGTAATTGCAGATTGTAAACTGTTAACTTGTTCGAGGTTAAACGAATCAAACTGACAGATTAATATAACAATAGGGAGTTAATCAAAAGTAGTGTTGTGCAATTAAAGACTACTATAAATAATAATCGATAAATTGATTGCAATCTTATTAAAGATATAAATGACAATCGATAAATGGATTTCAATCTTCTTAAGGATCTCAGCTTAAAGTGGATGTGAAATTCGATAGACATATTGAAATTAAAGCTGAGAGCTAAGCTCAGCCAAATGGTTGGATATAAATAAGGTATATAAGGTTCATTTCTATAATTCAAAGTTCGAATCAATTTCTGACCAATCTATAACTAGTATAATATGAAAACAATTGGAGCTACAAATGAGAAGCACTATTAACATTTTGTTCGCATTAAATCGATCAGTTAACTATTTTCTCTAAAAATAATAATTATATTTATTGTCTTGCCTGCCAAGAAACGACATGTTCTAATTCGAGAGAGTCTACTGTGGCTATTTCGAGCATAGCTAGCTATATTATTTTAAGCACACCTTCAATAACAAGTTTTGTGACTAATTAAAGAACTTTATAGCTCCGATAACAACTAACTAACTAACCAACTAACTGATTAGTGGGCACTATAAACTTGAGCCACAACAGTTTCAAGCGCAGAAAAATAAATATAGTTGAGTTTCATTCGATTGCAACGGGTTTGTAGCTGAGGGAGCTTGATTTTATACTCTGTATCTATTGTAAATGGGTTAAAGGGTATTTTAGTTATTTATTTTGTTATGCAATTGTATGAAACAGACTACAAAGAACTAACGCTCTGGTCAGGTCTATCTAAAACTATCGATAACTATCCCTGCTTTCATGAAATCGATTTCATTAAATCGATGACAATCTGCTGTGTTTGAGCTCTCGTTTATGTATCTGGAGACACCAAATTTGGAGCACAGGACCTTATATCCTATCCCTTTTCTATGTAAACGATAAATATCGATTTTCAGACCAGATTTCTGAGCACATAGTATGAAGGAAGCTAGAATGTTTGCAGCGGCATAACGTCGCTGTGTAGTGGGTATTTCTTAGTCGGGCATTGCCGAGTAATGCAATTTTATATATTTTTTTTTTTGGGTTAAATGCGTGGCTCGTCTCGTTTGTTTTTGTTAAACTGTTTGTGAATTTTATGTGGCCAGGCAACTGGCTGGAACCGAAAACTGGAGGTAGCAGCTTCTGAGGGAGGAGGGGAGCGGGGTAGGAGGCGGCCCCTTGAAGCGTGTTTTATATGCGACACGTGCCGCACATATTTAATGCAATGTCGGACAAAGGTGGCAATAAGATTGAGAACATGTCTGTAATCCATGGCTCGTTTACTCACTTGTCAAATAGGGCATGATAGTAGGTCTGGCCCAGCTGGATGTCGGCGGTTAATGTTGTTACAAAATTCGATAATGGATTGGGCAAGCATTGCGATTCGCGCAGCACATTTTGGCCCCACATAATGGAGCCCTTACGCAACGCATTTACCACCTCGCCGCGCACGCCCTTATTAAAGGGGCAGACGGCGCGAAAGGCGCGCATCGAGCCGAGCAGACCCAGACAGCGCAGCAGGAATTCCAAGCGTATGAGCGAGGGCGGATTCAGTGCCGGAAAGATGTCACGATGTCGTCGTATCTGATTTAACGAACGCTCCACAAAGCCATTCATCGCCTCGGCCAGCCATTGTTCCAGATCGCGTGACAGCGCCTCCTGATTGGGCTGATTCCATTGTTTCTCCACATCGCTCAGCAGGCGATGCAGGAATTTTGGATCCAGCGGCGTTGAGCGATTCAGTCGAGCGGCGGCCACATATCTGTCGAATAGCATAGAAGGAACACTTGAGTGCGAGCTCAATGCACGCTGGAATTTGCGACTTACCTGGCCATGGCGCAGTGCAAATCGGTGAGCTCCGACTGTACGGCCAGCTGATGGAGTATGGTGAGCGCCGGGCCGGGCAGATCACCGCACCAGGTCCAGCTGGGCTCGTGTGTGGTCACCTCGTGCTGCATGAAGACCAGCTGCAGCTGCTCGATCTTGCGCAGCTGCTGTTCATTGTTCTCCTCGGCAACGTTGCCGCGATCCTCGCGTGTCGATAGCCACAGCTTGAGCCGTATGCGACCCTGCACAGTGCTGCGATGACTGCGCGCCTCCAACTTGAACCAGGCATCCAGCCCTGTTGAGGGTATATCCGCTATGGGTATATTCACGGAGCCCAGGAAATCGTCCTGCGAGCCCTGACGCGCCGACTGACAGACCTGCTTGAAGAAACGACCCAGGCCGCGTACACCGCGCACCTCGTTCAGGCGCGACACGGCGTCCAGGACGCAGCTCTCGTCGTCGTGGTCCCAAATGTCCAAGTGAAAGGTGTCCGTGTTGATGTCATCGATGTCGCTGCGCGCGCGAGGGCGGGAGAACATAATTAATTTACTTTTAGTTTTTATTTGATTTATTTCGGCGGGGCGATTCATTAGCCGAACCGATACGAGCTCGTTAATTTGTCTAATTAGCCGGCGCGCTAAGAAGTAGGCTATACTTTTTTTCGAATGTGTCTTCAAGAGCCCTGATTAAATAAGAAGAACTCTTAAACTGGCCACAATTCTAGCCATTCGCAGCTGCTGCTATTTCTGCTTCTTTTATGCGCAGTGCTCAAATTTTATATTTATGAACAGACATGAAATAAAACAACTGCTACCACATGAGATTTACGAGCAGGTTAAAATATATCGCTGCAACTTGTAAGATGATTTAAGCTTTGAGACTTTTTCTTTGTAAGCAAAATAAAATAGTATTAAAAAATAATATTGCCCATTGCTTTAGTCAAATTAATTAAAACAAAGTACATTACATTATATATAAATATTATAGCTTATGAGAGTTTCAATATTTGCCTGACCTTTGTAACCTAACGTCAAATTTTATAATCTTCTTGTTAAACTTTCAATAAACTGAAAGTTTAATTTCATTGCTAATGTCATTTTAAATAAATGTCAAAAGTTAAACCAGTCAGCTTATCTACACGACAAATGTTTAGAGTTGCCACCTGATAGTTAATCGATCGAAGAGCAGGACAGTGTTGGTAAACATTAGGCTGATATCGTTGCAGTGGTTGTTTTCAAAGCTGCATTGCATTTTCCAACGATTGTCGATTCGATTTAAATGTAGACAAACTTTGTCTGTCAGTTAAATATTTGAAAAGCTACCACGGCAGGGTTGACAGCCTGTCGCATATGGCAACACCAAATAGTGTTGATAAACAAAAAATAAAACAGACTTTACAATTGTCCAATTCTAGTTGGTAACTATCTTCAAGGCTTCGGCTTCCTATTGCGCACAATTTTTAACGTGAAGTTAACAGGAGGATAAGAGAACGCAGAGCAACTTAAGTGCTTGTCAGTTAAGGAGATTTAAGAGTTGTATTGCAATTTAAAGCAAGGAATTGCAGCATTTTGTTGCTTATATTGATGGCAAATGCAACATAAATTTTGATAACAATTGCAATTGTTATTGTTAAATGTATTGTCGATTTTATGGCGCAATTAAATGTTGCTGTTTCCCGTAGCTCGTAAATTACAAGCAGTTGTTTTTCCTTGCCAGAGATCGCAGCTAAATGATAAATGCGTTCAGTCGCGGGGAGACACGCGGCGTATGCGCAACATTTGTCATGCGGCGAGGCGTAAATGAAGTGTCTCCAGGCACCGACAAATCGAATCGCAAAGTGCTTTTGCTTCTTGGACTAAATTTAGCAAAAGCGTCGAGCCGTAATTGAATAATTTTGGAAATAAATCAGCCATTGAGCACCGAAATTCTGAGTGGGATAATGGACACGTGATTGAATTTAAATGCCCGCATAATGGTGGGGAGGGGTGGAGAGTGAGAGGGGAGGATATGTTATCATATAATGCACACTTACAATTTAAATTTCTCATTCCATTTGGGGCTGAGCGTGTGCGGCTTTATGCTGGTCGCCTTGATTAGCTTGGCCGGGACCGGGCCGCCCAGCGAGTCGCGCTGCTCCCGTCGACCGGCCTCGCGCCGCTTAAAGCTCAAACGGAAGCTGTGCTTGCGATGCGGCGGCGAGTCCGTGGCGCTATTATCAAAGCCACCGCTCATGTCCGCCGAAAGGGCGCGCGGCGTCGGCGGCAGCGGCAGCGGCGACACGGGCGGACCGCCGTCCGGCTGTATGCCCAGCATGCAATACGGATCCGAGAAGCCTGCAAAAAAAAACAGAGAAAAACAGAGAGAGAGAGACGGTAAGTGAGAAAATGAGATTCGCTTTGATATAACATTAATGAAAAGCGTGCGACATTAAATGGCAATTAATGACAGCCTGCCTGCAGGCAGCTGCGTGTCAGCTGGCAACAGACGCTGCTGGTCACACCGGGCGTATGATTAACATTTCATTTGCATAAAGTGCTGCTTAATTATTAAGTGCCACTGATTTACACACACACAACGAAAGAGAACGAGAGAGAGAGAGAGAGAGAGAGAGAGTGAGGGAGAGAGAGTGAGGGAGAGAGGGATAGAGGCGAGTGTGACAAGCTTTGCGGCTGCTGAGCAACGGGCAACTTAATGGAGAGATAATAATCGATTAAATGGCTTCAATGGGCTATACGAATTTAATTCAAACTCCGACAGTGCGCATTGCTTCAATGCGTCAATTAGAGACGAGCGCGTGACACGACTGCATGAAATACAGCAGAAAGTTTAGAGATTTGCAACTTCAATACAAATTGAACAAGGAAAAAGAGACGATGAGGACCAGTTTTATTTTGAGGTTTAGATAAGTTTAGGTTAAGATTAAAAGTCTTACATCACAATTTTACAAGAAATTACTTAGAAAAAAATGCTAGAGCTTATAAATAAACAGCCCAGTCTGGACAAAGTTCTGATACTTTCAACTTTTATATTTATTAACATGGTTAAGAGTCGTGTCAGGAAGTTAGACACGGTTCCAACTCTAGCTTGGCATATTAGAAAACTAGTCAACTGCGAGTTGGTGTAATTTTTTTTTTGTGCTATGCTTGAACTGAAATAGTAACGATTGCTGCTAATGAAAACTGAACCTGATGCCAGGCATCAGATCGAACGACTACAGCCAATTGCGGATGGCCAAACAAAAGCGACGGCACTCATCAGCCACGTTTCATTGGCAACGAGTTGGTCTTGTTCTCATTCTTGTAGTTGTTGTTGTTGTTGTTGCTATTGGCAGCAGGAGCCCGCATGCACCCGCAGCCAGGCAGCCAGACGTTAGCCATCAGCAGTACATTTAGCAGATGCCAAAGAGAGAGAAGCGAGACAAAGAGATGGAGAGAGGGGGAATAGAAGATGTTGAGGCTAGCAGCGGGAGCACTCAACGTATTCCTTACACATCCTTGAGCACATTAAAATGCGAAATTGCGTTGCCTTCATCGGCATCGACGGCATCGTTGTCGTTCGGCTGCCGCTGCTCTTGGAGCATAATGAACAAAATGGGTAGCATTAAATTGCAAATTTATTGAACGAGCTGCGGAACAGAGTCGATGACTTGCCATTGGCTCCCGGGTTCCCGAGCTCTCGCAGTGATGGTCCGCCTGGGTCCGCCATGCCAGCTGTAACTGTGACACGGCTGAAACAAGTGGGCGGGCTCCACTCGAGAGTAGCCGACTTGAAGGATACCCATCAACACAAAATGCCACTTGGCTTTAATATATATCTTTTATATCTATCTATATATCTATCTGTCTATCTATTATATCTATCTATCTATACATCTGTCTATCTATCTGTGTATCTATTTAACAATGTATCTATCTGTCCATCTATATATCTCATAAATCATGGCTTTATATCATGAAATGTGATTTCTTTTCATAACTTTTGGATTAACTAGAGAAAGGTTTCCAAAAAGTGAAGCACTTCTATTTGAATCGTACGAGATCTTTATCTAATAAGAGTCGAAGATCAGATCAATTTCTTCAGACAAGCTGCTGCGGTACCTGGACAGGATCCTAGCTGACCTTAACAGCGAGAGGCGTCCTCAAAGGACATTGATAGTCTTTTGTTTGCGCTCAAAGATATGCTCAATAAATCGAAGCTTGCCTATCGATATTTATCGATTTCAGGGCATTGATTTGCCGATTTACACATTACACTTAGTATCCGTAGATAATACATATATTAGACGGACTTGTCATCATTGCTCTAATCCAATCGCAGTTGATTTCCCTGCCTGTCACAAATCTGTGCACAAAATCAGTATACCCAACTGCACTCATATCAATACAATGGGTATTGAGCATAATAAAAATGTGGCAAAAACGTTAAATATGCGAACATGGCGCATATGGCACACAGTTTATTGATGACTCGTTTGGCTTTTTGATGCGCCCAATCATGAACACACACACACACATGCACACACACACACAGGGGCACACACACGCACTCAGAAAATAAACACACACGCACACAAAATTCATAATGCAATTATTGAAGCAGCCGCAATTCAATTTGCAAACTAAAAATATTTATGCAGCACACAGAAATTGACAGATTGTTGTGTTAAGGGCGGGCAAAGGGGGTGTTGTAAGGCGGCGGGGGAGAGGGGGAGGGGTTGTTGGTTCAACCGTGTGCTTACCATTGGCATCCTTTGCTTCGAGACCATCAGCCTCAATGACGACCGCAGAGAGGACGATTATCTTTGGTTTATCCTCGGCGGAGGCGTGCAGCAGGCGATAATGACGATCCGGATTGACACCAAAGGCGCGCTGTGCATGCAGATACATTTCGTCCTTGTAATGTGCAAACTGTACAAAGAGAGAGAGAGAAAGCGAGAGAGAGAGAGAGCAGGTTAGTTATATGTAGACACATGGCAGCCAAATATTGCGCATACGCCGCGTGCGGCGGCAATTTCATTTCATTTCATTTAATTATTTTGTCATTTATTTGTAAATATTTTGCGACAAATTTGTAATATCAACAACAAAGAGAAGAAGAACAAGAATATTAATTTGCATATTTTTGTCGCAAAAGCAACGATATTTTAATACCCTGTACGCGTTAAGGGTGTTTATGAGCTTGTCAACGGACTTCTGTTTGTCTTTCTTCTAGTTTTGAAAATGTTGCCAAAAAGGGGTACAAAAATATATCCTGCAAAGGAAAACGATAATATACCCTTCCAATTAAAATCGATAAATATCGATTTGAAACCTATTTTTAAAATTACGCAGCATTTCGCTTAACATAAACATATCCAACATTTTATTTTGTATATTTTCTACACTGCAACTAAAGTCATAAGACATTTTGAAAGCATGTGCACCCTACTTATACCCTGTAAATGCTATAACGATGCACATATCATTTTTATTCGTTCGTGCATTCGTGAGAGAAGAAGAAGCACAGCCGCTTTACTAAACAACAATCGGCACATATTTTTAACAGGGTATCTCCTGGCTGATCTAGTAGTCAAGCACTCTTGCCTGTTTTTTATTGGCTTCCGTTTGTTTTTTGTTTTTCTGTTTGCTTTGCGCGCGACCCCATATCAAACAATTTTTCTTTTTGTTTTTTTTTTTTTTTCGCCCTGCTTATTTTCTTTTATATTCTCTGATATTTTTGCATATTGATTTATCCTGTCGAATTTATTAGCTCCCCGTCTGACTTGCTGATTTGCACACGCTTCGAATGGCGCTTTCATCACCTCCTGCCCCTGCACCCGCGCCCGCCCGCGCTCTGCCTGGTTCTGTTTGTTTTTTTTTTTTTTGGCTATGCTGAGGCATTCTTTTAATTTGATTGCTTTGACTGCAGTCGCCTTGGCAGCGTCCATCTAAATTATTAAGAATATTCTTTTAAGAGCAATCAAACTCCCTTCAAGCCCCCCTTCGGCCAGCCCACGCGCTGCTCCATTCACTTGTCGACTAGCCAAAATCTAAGAATCATTTGTTGGTCTTATTTGTGCTCATCTTAACAAATAAAAACAACTGCAAATGCTTTGATTGAGGTCACTTTGCAAATACCCTGTAGTTAATTGTGAAATATATGAAATTATTTTTTTAATTAGCCTTTTAGATATTTTGCTATTCAAATATATATTATGGGCTACCGGAAACTAAATACCCTACATAGCTATATAAAATACATATACAATTATATTATGAGTACTTTTTGAGTAGTTTTTTAATTTGATTAACTTGTCAAACAAAATAAGCCTAGGCTAAAGCGTAGGGTATTTGAGTATCTCACATGCCTTCTGCTGTGCTTTAGAAAAGTAAATGAAGCCCTCTTTATGCTGCAACTATCTTTGAGTACTTTTAGATATTAGAATATTTAAATTCCAAAAAAACACTTCATATGCACTTCGTACAAGAGACTGCAGACCCACTATGAGGGGGGAAGGAGAGTGGATGTATTTGAAACAAAACTACATACCACATTATAAATACCACACACAGCTGTACAAAATGGTGTCCATAATATATTTTGAGTACTTTTTGAGTAGTTTCTTAAATTTATTAAACTGTCAAACAACACAAGCGTAGGGTATTCAAGTACCTAACATACCTTTTGCAGTGCTTTAGAAAAGCAAACGAATGCTCAGTTCAGCTTCTGAAGCACTCTCCATGTTGCAACTATCTTTGAGTACTTTTAGTAGCAAATATTAGAATATTTAAATTCCAAAAAACACTTCATATGCATGTGACATACAAGAGACTGTATACGCCCTTAAAAGGGGAAGGGGAGTGAATGTAATTGGAATAAAAATACATGGAAATTACGGTTAACTTTTTGAAGTATTCTGTATTATGCTTTGAATACTTTTGAGTAGTTTTCTGTTGCGAATAATTTTAAATGTATTTAATATATGTAATTTGAGTGGTGCTCTTGGACGATATATGCAAAGGTTAAAGGTGAAAACTGTTAATTTCTAAGAACTTATCTGGCAAGTGCAGACCGAAGTTTTAGTCCGTGAAACGTATTGAAAAGTTTTTTAGACACATTTTCTTTTTTGGCCAATAAAAACTTTCTAAGACCAAAAGTTTGCATTAAGTATAAGCTTACTAGTTTTAAGAAAACTCAATTCTCGGAACGTTTCTATTGTCGGAATTTCTATTAAAGCTTTGCTCGGGAAGCGTGGAAATTTTCAAGCGTAGTTCGACATTTGGTAAAGTCATGCTACGTATTGTCGGAGCATTATCGTAGCATATATTTATTTAACCATTAGTTAGCATTAAAATCATTAACCCAGTTGCAGCAGCTGCCTGTTATGCGACACACACACACATTTATTTGTAATTATTTTCCATTAAATGGAAAAAGTGTTCGCGGCTTGGTTGGGAAATGCCGCCCCGCTGTGCTGTTGCGGCGCAAATAAGTTTAGTGACTCGGGCCGGGCTTGGGCTCGAGTTGAGGCCCCGCGAGACTTGTCCAGCTTCAGCTCAATCACAGCAGGACTTTAACGTTATTTTCCTGCTGAAAGTTTTATTACGCTGCCATAACCTAACGCCGCCCCCGCAACAGAATGAACTAAGTTTTGCAGCCCCTCCCCTACCCTTTTTAGTCGCTTTCTGCTCTCCTAGGTACAGTCAGCTTCAAGTTTCATTAGTTGTGCAATTTTCTCATTGTTAAATTAAAAACGATAATTGAAAAATGTTGGCCGGCTTGGCCATATTTCCACCAACCCCTACTTCTGCCAGCCAAGTTGTGAGAATATTGGAAAATTACTTACAAAACGGCAATCGAAATGAAAGTCTAGTTCAACTTTTTATACTCTGAACAAACGATGGGAAATGTGCAAAAGGGGTACCATGTTTTTCGTGCAGCTTTATGTGACAGTCAGCAGGAAACATCTAAGATGCCATACAGGTTATATTGCTGATTAGAGCGACGAGATGAGTCGATTTGAATAGTCTGTCTGTTTTGTACGTATTTTTGCGCTGAGATCGGACAATAAATGCCGATTTTTTTCATACAAGCATTGCCCCTAGCCCTAAACTGAGATTCGCTCTGCATTTAAGGGTATCTTTCAGTCGAGCATTTGCGATAAGGGTACTCTTACTTTCTTTTTTGCGCATAGAAACATTTTTATAATTGAATTTTGTGAGCACAGAATAGGTAAAAGGGGAAAGCATTACCGCTCCCCCACCAACCACCAGATACCATTTAGAGGCTCAAACACTTTGGCCTTGTGGCATTAATCATTTAAATTGCCCAACATTTTGGCCTAAATGTCTGTGATTAACTAACGGTACGGTAAGGGTTCAATCATCTATCATCTAGCTAACCGCTCGTTAATTTCACTGGCTAAAATATATTCTGTGCTATTTGCATAGGTTTTCAGCTCAATCAAAAATTCATAGAAAGTTTGAGGCTCTTCATTTGTTTGAGTAGTTTATCTTCTTCTTTTTTTTTTGTTGTTGGCTCTTGCACTCACCTGTCCGCCGGGCGCTGGTGCGCCCACCGTATTGGCAATGGTATGCAGGACCTCGACATAGAGCTTCTCCTTATCGTCGTGTCGGTCAATGGACTCCTCGGGCGCTGGCGGATCACGTTCATTTTCGGGATTAGCCTCGGCACGTGATTCGGCCGCACGCGTTGCCGACATGCGACGATTTTCCCGCTTCCAGCCGAGCGATGTAAAGTTCTCAAAATACGACCCATCCGTTTCCTGTACCCTGTGTGTGTGTGTATGAAAAGAGTGTGGGCGAGAGAGTTAGGCTTGGATTGGGTTTCATGTGAGTGCACTTGATGTGCTATCAAAGTATTTTCGCATATTGAATCGCCGGCCGTGTCAGCCAGCTCCAGCTCTAATTGGTACTGTCAATATGCTCGACATAAGTATTAAGTATTCCATTTGCATAGCGCGCGGCATGCTTGTCAGACCTATTTCAAACATTGATAAGGGTCGACATTTGGCCATATGCTTGTTGCTTCTACTGTCTTCTGTCGCTAATTGTATACAAATATATATATATACACAGGCCCCAGCAGGTATATATATATACATGTTTGCGAGTTAGTTTTCATATTAATCATACGCCCGGTGCGCCTGTTAACAGATTTTTAACTCAGTCAAGGGTTGAAGTGGATGATGATGATGATGCTGATGAGCTTGTTGATGATGATGTGCCTAATCATTTGATTTGCATGACAAACACACGCACACCCGCACACACACACACACACACCCACATACACACACCTACACCCACATCGATATACTCAGCAGCTGTGTCTTTAAATTGAGCTACAAAACTTTTCACACTCAGCACAAAATGGGCAGCGGCTAAGCGCCTAAGCGGCTTAACTTTGTTGCCAGCATTTTGAGTATTTTTTACGTTTATGATGCGGCACCGAGAATCAAGTTAGACTTGACTCGCAGATACCCTGTGCTTGTAAAATCTGAGTGAGCTAAGTAGAATAGCTAGTTGATTATTCGAAGCACGGAAAAAATGATCGAAAATCGAAAAAATGTTTATTTGACAAGGTACTCGAAAAACTAGATGGAAAACTTAATGTCTCTAAGTTCGAAGCCCACAAATGTTGAATATTCAGACAGACAGATGGAGAAGGCATTACTGATAAGACTTGATTAAGACTTCATTTGTTTAAAGGAATCGAAGATAGCTGCTGCTACATAGCATCTACACAGCTTTATTAAACCCTTTTTTTTAACTTGATTACAGGGTATGCTAAAAAATTATAAACTGTGCTGTAAAATTTCATTTTCGGCAGGATCGAAAAAAATGTGTTGACCAACACTTTTTGTTGACGCTTTTATTTTTTTTTTATATTTATTTGCGCGCGGCGAAAATCTGCGCCGCAAATGCGAAGCAGGGCGGGGCTTGAGGAGTGCGGACTTTGACTTACAGTGCATTGTTTGCAAGTTTTATTTTTTATGGCGTTTTTTTTTTTTCTGCAATAAAAATTTAATTTTAAACTTTCTGGCGCAGTTGTTTCGTTTGCTTTGTGATTTTGTCAACGAGCTCTCAATTTCAGCTTAAAGTTCTTGGCGTATTCTTTGCGAAAGTCTCCTCTTAACTTTGCCCTGATTCCGGCACTTTGTATTCTTTTCCCGGCTAGTTTCTTGTCGCTGTTATTATTTATTTATTTTGGTATTTATTCTGTCGCAAAAATATTTTCGTGCAGTGTTGGTAAACAGTTGCTGAACTTTGCCTTAGCTTAACAAATATTCATGATTTTGTGTGTGTGTGTGTGTGTGTTGATTTTTTTGTCATTTTAATTTTTTCATATCTTTTGTTTCAATTTCCTGGCACACAAAATAAATGACAATTTAATGAGCGTATGAAATTGTTGTTTACATTCTGCGGCATTTAATTAATCTACACATTTTCGCGTATTTGTTTACGATTCATAATGAATTATTTGTATTTACCTTCAATAATTGAATGTTAATGCATGCGCGGTGCGCGCTAATTGCAACTTTTTGACAAATAAATTTTGTGCGCTTTATGCAGATAATTAATTTATATTTAACAAGTAAGAAGTTCTAGTCGGGAGCTCCCGACTAGGGGATACCCTGAACCCTCTTCTTCCAACATCAAATGCATATATATATTCTATTTTAAAAGGTGACTCTAGCTCTTATTATTTACCAAAATTGCCCAAAAAACAGGATATCGATATCGATTTTTATCGGAAACAAACTCGATCTGCGCGGGAGCTAGGAGCATCTACATCTAAAATTTCAAGTCTCTAGCTCATATAGGTTCTGAGATCCTTGCGTTCATACATACGGACGGACGGACGGACGGACGGACGGACGGACAGACAGACGGACAGCCAGATCGGCTATTGATGCTGATCAAGTATATATATACTTTATGTGGTCGGAGATGTTTCCTTCTGACTGTTACATATATTTGGATTTTGCACAAATACAATATACCCTTAAACCCATTTTTAATGGGTACAGGGTATAAAAATATTGTCATTGGATTTGCGTGCAGTAAGTGATTTCTGGTGTTCAGTTGCAAATATGTTTAAAGTTGAACAGCACAAATAATTGCATTGGTATTTTACAAACATTACAAAGCAATAAATTGCAACCAGGCAAAGGTTGCTGATTTTAATTATATTTAAATGAGAGCCCTTCTCGGCGCTTCTCATGCCGGCAAGCGTGTTGCAACTTGGTGTGTCTTTAAGCAACACCTAGTTAAATCTCATTTCATGCCTAATTAAATGTTACCTCAAGACCAAACTCTCATTATGCGCACATTTTCAGGCTAAGTTGCAGCCGCATTATGCTAAGCAGACGCTGGCTTTGAGGCCAGCCAGGCTGCAGCATGTTGCAACCTTGCTTGTAAGCTGCCAAGCTCACCCCCTCACATCCTGTCCTCCTTCAGCCCTAATGCTGCAAAGATATCGCCTTATCTGTGTCTTCTGTATGACTGTGTGCGTGCGCAAGTTGGGCTAAAAGTTTGAGCTGCTCAAAAGGTTGGGCCCGCATTTGAAACTGCCAATGTTGCATAGACTTAGGCGCCAGGGCCAAAGTTTCTTTTGGGAATTACAGCGCACAGTGCTGGTAAAAACATAAAAAAGAGGAAAAGGAAGCAACGCCCACACAAGGACAAAACTTTTGTAATTACATAATTATGAAGGTCGGACTTGAAAGTTATAGAGCATTTGAGAACAAACGTAAAAACACAAAACAGCAATTGAAGTACATTAATTAATTGGTAAATAATTCATTTTATTTCTGTGCAAATGCTGAATGGACTTGCCCGGCTGCCAGGCTTCAGGAACCTTCATAATTTATGTACAAAATCCCAACAAAGAAGCTCATTAGGAGCAGACATCATTTAATTTATGCATTGCTGCTTTAAATGCATAAACATATTTCTGTCTAGTTAATTATGAAGAGCACACGTGCTGCCGGGATGGTTCAAGGTATTTTCATAAATAAAAAAATTAATATTTCATTTGCGGCTTTTTTGCACATCATCAACTATGCATTAGGGTTATTCCACCCACCCACACACACTCCCGTCAACACTTACCCAGAATTCGAGCGCGGATCGACCTCGGGCCAACTGAGGCGTCGCTTGCAAAATGCCAACGGTGGTCGCGGCGGCGGATCCGGCTGATGCAGTGGCGAGTTCCGGCTACGGAATGAACCGGTGCGCGGCGGAGCCAAACACTCCAGGGCACGCGATTGACGACGCGAATTGATGGGCGTGCTCCCAGCGGATGAACAGTTGCCTCCCGCACCGCTGCTGCCCTTGGGATAGCCTGTGCAGAGAGAGAGGTATGTATATATAAGATATATATATATAAAATATAGTTTTTTATGTACGATTTGTAATGTGTTTAACTACCTCACTTTTTGCGTACCTTCTCAAAAAGTGTTGGTATCAAAAGGGACTAAATTGAATCACTCTTGAGCAAAATATGCAAAACTTTGCAGTCAAACCAAAAGAGTTAAGCTTAAAGTGTTTAATACTAATGCTAATTCTTTTCACGGAAAATAGAATTTCTTAGTAGAAAGTAAATATAAGAGGCAACTACATTTGTTGTACACCTAAATATTGAGGCAGGTAAAGACATTTCAATGCACTTAAATAACAAAACGAGCTCATTATTCTATAGATAAAATGTACTATGTCGTATTCAACATAAAAACCTAGAACATTCGACCCAAGTCCAATTTCCCTTCCATTTCTATAGTTGCTATATGATATGGTATATGATATAGAACGTAAATATTATGGGTGGTAAATAAAGCTATGGTCTGAAGGCCCTTCTAATCCTAGTAAGAAACCTTCAGTGTGAACATCAGTTAGATTCATCAAAAGTCTGCATTCCAAATATGATTAAACTAGCTCTATAATTTACGTATTTATAGTTTGATTCGTCCTACAACACACCCAGTTGTCGCTGCCGCATAATCTCAATTCAAACATTACCTAATGCGGATATACACGATTATATATTCCATACATCAAGTCTCTGATTTTCATATCAACATTGGCCACAATGAAACAAAAAGGTGCGAAACGTAGCTTGCAGAGAAAGTCTCGATTTGTTGCACAGTGTTAGCCAAGCAATATTTAGATTTTACCTTGAGTTTTAAGCCTTGAAGCTTAGGATAAATAAAATTGAAAGACAAATTACGTTTTCATGTTTGTTTTCTGTATCATTTGCACTTGCCTCTAACACACGCTACGCTACAATTTTTTATGCCCGAGCCTGAGAACTCGTGCAATTGTGAGAGACAACTAGACGCTCGTAACTTCAAATACAATGGGGAGTACTTAGCAATGAGGCGAATGTTTATGGATTAGGGGTAGCCGGGCCAGGAGATGTGTTGCAGTTTAGAGCGGGCAACAGGCGGCAAACGGGCAGGAAGGAAAACGGAAGGAAACAAGCCAGTCGACCAGTCGACCAGCCCGTCCGTCCGTCGGCCAAGCCCCAGTCAAGTCAATGCGATGCGGTCAATGCGGCACTGACTAGTTGGTTGGGCGTGGGAGGCGGGTTTGGGGGGTGTGGAATGTGGCCAAACGTTGTTCAGGGCAACATAACCGCAACCTTGACATGCATCTGTGTGGCTGCTGCTGTTGCTGCTGCTAGTCCAGCTGCTAGTCCTGCCAGCGACAAGGACAATGGGAAAACAGCTGCAGACTCAACGTGAATGTTGCTGTTCCCACTCGTCTAACCTCCCACTTTGTCTAACCATTGCTGCGGCTTCGCCACGAAGGCTTTCTGGACTTCAGACTAACTCCTGCTGCTGCCTCCTGCTGGCTGCTGCTTATGCAAAAGCCCCAAACAACACATATACATATATATAATGTATGCTTGGCGCAAAGCGTAAAGTCAAAGTTGGCCAAAAAACCGAAACCCACACACAGGCGCTGAGAAATAGAAAAAGCCACACACACAAACACACACACACACACACTCGTACACACATGCAAATACATTCGCAGGCAACAACTGCGCTTACACGTTGGCGGTTTTTTTAGATGCCACGCCTGCTGCCAGCCTCTTGATGCCGAGTGCTGCCAGCTTAGCTTGTTTAACGATAAAAGTAGCTACTTATGGTCAGAGGAGGGAGAGGCGGGATAAGAAAGTATATGCATGGATATTCACAATCTGAATGATGGGCTTAGTCGTTTTATCCTATTTCTTTCGGCCTTCTTTTCTTTTGTGTCGATCTCGGAAACTGCAAAAGCTTAAGAATTGTAATTAGAAATATATATCCATGAATAGCACACGCAAAACGAACCTATCCACTTTGTATATATACTATATATAGAGATATATAGATATGGACACGAACTTATCCACTTTGTATATATACTATATATAGAGATATATAGATATGGACATGTCTTCGCATTTATATATATTAGTAGATATCGAAATCGTTATTCTGTTTTCTTGAGCACATCTCAGAGCTTAAAAGAGCGAGAGATTAATACATTTGGAATGTTAACTTTCGACAACAAATATTTCCCTTTTCCGTAAACTTAAACTCTTTCTGCAAAATTACAAAGACGAACTCTTTTATAGAGCTACACTCCTCCTTACGTATGCACACACTTTTGTATGCGCTGTTTAGGCTTTGAAAGTTTCATAGAGATCGGACTATACAGATCGAAGTTAATCTAGAGTGCATTTCCCAATCATAGCATACCGAAAAGGGAAGAAGCAGCGCAGTCGCAGCATCTGTATGTATGTTTGTGTGTGTGTCTATGTATGAAAGGAAACTAAAATGTCTCTAACGTTAGCTTGGAGCATGGAGCTCAACAGGGTATCTCCTAGTCGGGCACTCCCGGAAAGACCTTCTGCGACCGACAAGAACTTGTGATATCCACTTCTTGTCCTCCTCAACTCTTTTGAATACTTTCTCTCTCTCTCTAACAACTCTTTTTTTTTTCAAAATAAATTGTAGCTTTTTTATAGCCACTTTTCCTACTGAACCTAGCTGTTTTCAAGCTACTCTAGCCCTGCTGACTGCTCAGTTGTCGTTGTCGTCGTTATCATGTGACCAAAAGCCACTCGTTCGTGGCGCGTGCAACAAGATAAGCCAATTTCAATTTGATTCAAATGCTGTAGACGTTTGTAAATCAAAAGCCAAGCACAAGCCGAGCAACAGAACTTGCAACAGAACAGCGCAGCAGCGGTTTTTGTGGCAGCCAATGCGGCATCCGCTGCGCTGTTGGTTGACTTTGCAACCAGCGCCAACAACAACAACGACCATATTTAGCTTTCAATTTGGCTGGAGGCGAACGAGTTCTGGCAGCCGAAAAGAAGCTACAACTGGAGCCCAAAAGGAGCTCATATGCATGTTGATTGCCTTGGCTGGGATCCGAGCATAGTTTTGTCTCTGTTGCAGTTCTTGTTGCGGATTTGTTTGTGCTTATCCCCAAGACTTTACACCGAAAAAAAAACAGAAGGAGAAAACTTTGCGTCACATTCGGCGCACTCGTTGAAATTTTCTGGTTACATTTGCTTAGCGATTGGAAAACATGACGCCCGGATAAATTCAATAAACTTTTCCCATTTGCTGTTTGCATTTTTGCGGCTTGCCGGAATAAAAACTATCGATTACGCATTGATTCTTGTTTCTGGTTTTATGTTTGCCAATATTTTTTTTTTTTGTCTTTTTGTTTATTTATGGCTTTTGTGCAGCAGCAACAGCAGCAGCTGCTGCGACATTTGCATTTTAGAATCTGCACCACATGGCGTATGTGTAATGCGAAATTGAACAAATATTCCATGGAAAATTTTGTTATGTAACTGAAAACTTTTGTTAATATTAACAATAAATGGACAAACAGAGATCTATCGTATGACAGCACATATTTAAATGCGTTTAGAATTAAACAGAAAATTCACATTTGAATAGAGTTCGGTTTCCATTCAAATTTATATTGCAAAAAGTTCATTTTATGTAAATTTATGTGTTGCATTTAATAGAAACTAGTTTTATGAATTTAAAGCATTATTTAAGGCAAAAGTAATAAAGGGTTTATATGTGCAGCAGCCGGTGAAACTCATATTTTGAATTTCACTTGCAAATTCAATTCACGCAAACGAGTGGAAATTTTGTATACGCGGACCCAAGTCGCTGTCATAAAAAAACATGAAAATCTGAAGATTAACATCAACTAAACTAATTCAAATCAATTGCACTCCCTTTCACTGTCACTTCCTCACACCTAATACTCATTTGAAGGAATTCCACAGATATGTGCGGAAATGTCACACTTAAATGTGGGAAAATTTAATTGGCACAGAGTCAAGTTGATGTTAATCTAAATAATTATATTCTTAAGTTTATCATAAGCCAATCTCAGCCAAACCTCATATTGAAACTACTTTGACGCCTTAAAACAATATATTATTCGTGATTTTGTTTTCACTTTTCAATTAAATTCACAAACATGCGTGAAAATTACTACAATATATCATGAAAATCTAAATTCGAGCTGCTCACATTTTCATAAAAGAGCAAATTATGTATCTAGTATATAGCTTCACGTTTCGACCTGGACTTTGGTAAAAAACTAACTTATCTTTTTCAAATGAATTTCACGAACATGCGTGAAAATTACATATTTTAAAGTATGAATCATGAAAATCTAAAGTCAAGCTGTTTATGTTTTTCATGAACATCCTAAGTCAAGCCAAACTAGAACAAAAATATATATCTACCTAGTCTTATGTTTAGCTGTCAATTATTTCGACACACAAAACATACATACACAAACGACAACATAAATTTAATGAAAGTACAGTTTCGCATTTGCAAAGTATGCTATAAATGTGCATGTGAAATAATAATGGAATAAAAAACATGATAATGTATCTATCTTAATGGACTTCTGGTTTTTGCGCTTTATCAAAAATTAATTACATTTTATAGCCTTGTGGAGGGCATTATAAATTTGTCACAAACGACGACGAGACGACTTCAAACCCACATAGTATCTATACTTCTGATAAGTATCTAAATATGAGTTGATGTTCTCCTAACATTTATTCAAAATCACAACAAACCCGACTACTATATCGTACAGTTTCCCCAGCTTTTCTATATAAACTCCTTTTTAAGGGTATTTAGTCTTCGGCTTGTTGCGTGACTTGCCTTAGTTTTTGCTTATTTTTGTTTCCACTTAGGAAGCATTCGCAACAATATTATTTTGTCTGAGCATACATCAAATGAAAAAATACGTATATTTAGTTTGTCATGGATTTTCATTAATCTTGACACACTTAGGCGCCCACATAGAGAGCGAGAGGGGGACAGGGGACGGGGGCAGTCGCTTTTTGGGGAGCAGGACATTTATCACTTGAATGAAAGATGGAACTCACCTAGTAATGGATTAGTGGCATTCGGATTGCCAATGACAACGCCGCCGGCGGGATAATTGCCGCCGGCAACGTTTGAGGTGACGCCCGCGTTGGGCTGTGTGGGCGGGCCATAAGGGCTGCCGCCGCCGCCCAGACAACTGCCAATGCTCGTCTGTTGCTGCAGCGGCGGATGCTGCAGCTGCTGCTGCTGTTGATGCTGTTGCTGATGGTTCAGCTGCTGTTGCTGCTGTGAGAGCAACTGTTGCTGTGGACTCAAGGCGCCGCCTGCTGCAGCCGCGCTGCCTGCCAGGCCGCCTGTCTGCTGCTCGCTAGACTCCTGACGGGACAGCGAGAAGCGGCGATTGCCGAGGCCCAAGCTGGATATGCCACTTGTTACATATTGTTGCATGGAGCTGAGGAAACTCATGGCGGCATTTGCTGTGCTAACGCTTTAGTCTGGTTATTGTTGTTGTTGTTGCTGTTGTTGTTGTTGTTGCTGTCGCTTAATTGGCTTAAATCGCTGTCGTTGGCCCCAGTTTGTTGTGGTTCTTGTTGTTGTTGATATTGTGAAATTAATCACTTGGAAACTTGGCGCATACAAAGCTCGGGGGATTTGCTTTCAAATTCGTTATGTTTTCTAATTATAAAATGTGCGTCTCCAGCTCCGGCAGCTCCTTCTGCTTCTTCTGCTCCTTTAATTGCTTCAATAGGATCCGAACCAGACCAATTTCTGTAAGCAGAAGCAGACATATTTTTTTATGATTATTAAGGGCTTGCCTTAGATTTGTGCTCTTGTTATTTTTGGTTTTAATTGAAATTTTTGGCCAAGGCTTAAATCGATGCCAGGCATAAATGAGTGTATGTATGTATATATAGAAATGTTAAATATGTTTTACCTGAGCTCAAGATTACAACCAATTAGCTAACACACACACACAGGCACACACACCCAGACACACTCACACACACACACACAGACAGGCACGACTTAACTGTATTTAAATTTATTTCACAATTCTTAAAGCCCTTGCGCCCCTCTGGCTATTTGTGTAGCATTTATTTTCATTTGGCTTAAATTGTAAATTTAAATTTCAAATCTGTTTCACCTGAGCTGTAGTTAAGCTCGCAGACAATTTGTTTTTTTTTTACGCCTGCAGGCTAATCTGGCGATATACAAGAGGCAAAATCATGAAAAGCTTTAAAGCCTTTTTTTTATAAATTTATCTTAAATAAGCATTTATCCTGAATTTAAATTATACTCAAATTTGACTTTAAATAAAGCAAAATCAAGAAACAAGCTTATAGCTTGTATATAGCATTATAGATCAGCATCAACAGTCGAGTTGATATAACCGTCACTTTGTCTGTCTTTCTCTGTTTCTATCATCTTGAAACTTTGCACAGGTCCATCTTTCTGTTGTAGAAAGTACATATTACGAAGCTGGCCAGGTTGGACCTCTATATTATATAGCTGACATTGGAGCAATAGGAAAAGTAGTAAGGAATCTTTTTTTGTTTCTTAGGATATCTTGATCAAATTAGGCATTGACTAGTTTCTCTATGTACCTTCTATATATGCAAAATCTTACGACATCGTACGGCTAAATCGTATAGCTTTTTATAGAAACCCCGTCGGAAATTAAGTTCTTGATATCTTGATATCTTAACTATTTAAGGTATGCTGCTTATAAGTATATATGCCAAATCAAACCAAGGTCGCTTTATAATACTCTATAGCTCTACTGAGTTTAAGCTTAGCATTTTCGCGCTTCACTCTGTTTATATATCTGCAAGGTCGTCAGCCAAGTGTCTGAAAGTGTATTAAATATTCGTTGTGCCAAAGATATCAGTGCTATCTCGTAGGCTAGTTAGCTGAGCCCTAGCAGACATTCTCAATGTCAGCTGCAAAGCTTCGCTATTTCTAACAATCATGCGATGGCTCGCAATTCGTTTGTGTAAAATTTTGTAGCATACCTTTTGGCGCGCAGCTAAATTAATTTGTTACATTTTTGAAGGCTGCAACCCCAATTGCTGGCAAGCTTATTTGCGTCTGATTGAGTTATTGGCCTGTTGTTTGTGTTGACTCATTGCCAGCTGTTTGTGCAAGCAAGTGCAGCTGAACGTTGATTTCAAATATCGATTGATATATATATCTATTTTTTCTCACTCTCTCTCTCGTTGTTTTCTTTCGGCATCACTGTTAATTAATTTTGCTTTGATTGACAAGCTGAAGTGGGAGGAGCAGGAAAATGGAACCGATTTGGGGCAGAGGAACGGTAACAGGACCTGTTCTATCTGTTATCCAGCTATTTAGAGGTTTGCCGTAATTAACGTTTAATCAGCTGAGCTCAGTGAAGCAGTCTGCGGCTCTTGGCTAATGCGTCTAATCGATCTGCATGAGTAATTGGCTCAGAGCCGAGCGAGCACCTTGCCGTTCGATTCTCCGGCTTTTTTTTTTTTTGGTCATTCGCCTGGGCCATAAATTAAGGCCAGCAGCTGCGACAGGCGCAACACTAATCGCAATTATTGTTGTTTGGCATTAATAAATGCAACACAAAGCGCTAATTAGTTAATTAATTGTCCACAACTGGACACAACGCAAATCGAACGCATTTTCGTAAGGCTCAATGTACACGAAACGTGCCTGGATTTGCTTTTGCGTCAAATATATAAGCATTATCGCCTTTAATAGATAATGAGCACTGCGTAAATTTAATTTAAATTAAATAGATATAACGATTATGTGGAAATTTTAATAAAATTATATTAATTCTATTAGGATATAATTCATTTAAGAGTTTGCTTCACAAGTAGGCAGTATTCGTGAAAATTTTTAAATTAAAAGATGTGGCTATTCAAAATGAGAAAAAATTTTTGTTAAATATGCAAAAATGTACACAACAAATTTATCTCGAACTGTTTCAATGGGAGCCTCAAGTATGAAATAAGTATTCCAATGCTTAAAGGCTTTTTGCTCGACCTTCAAAAGCATAGGAAAGCTCATGAAAGAGTAGAATATCTTTCAAACGAGAAATTATGGATATCTTCGGCACACTAAAGATTTAATACAATTTCTGATTAAGATATGTTGGTAAAGATATATGATAAGAATCTACTTGTCGAACGATGGCAGCAGTATGATAAAGTAGTCCGATTTGGCCCGGTTTTGAAATATGTACTTCAATGCAAATACAATGCAAAGTTTCTGGACGAAAGCTTTAGTTCGGAGCAAAAAAGAAATAAACCTAGAAACAGACAGATAGATAGATAGACTAACGGAGGAGCGGACAGACCGACATGGCTATAACAACTCGGCTGTTCACGAACATATATACCTTATGGGGTCGGAGATGTCTCTTTTTATGCAGAACACAGTTCTAGAGTATTGACCCTTGTAGTAGTATTTCATAAAAGAACTGAGTTTTTAAGCATTTGTTCCTATGGGCGCTTTAAAACATGATGTACTGAAAGAATCTCTCTCGGAAATGTTCCAGCACATATTGCAGCAATATACATATTGCAGCAATACATACATGTTGCTAGTTTCGGCAAATTGTTAATTTGCGTTGTTTGTAATTGTTGCGCACAAAAAAACCAAAGCAAAAACTTGATTGTTATTCAACGTGCTCTCAACGCGACAATAGTTGGCATTTAATATCCTGTTGATTGCCACTAAATGGAATACAAGCATGTCCTGCGTGCAGATTTGCAATGTTGCTGTGGCAGCAGCAACAGCAGCAACTGTTGCAACTGTTGCAACAACAAAGGAGCGGCAACAGCAACAATGCCTGACATTTGTATGCAGTTGTGTGCGTGTGTTGCAAGTGTGTGTGCGTGTGTTGCAAGTGTGTGTAATCAGCGCATTTTACATTTCATGCCTGTTCGGGTCAGCGAGGCACGCAATTTACTGCTGCTGCTACTGCTGCTGCTGTTGCCCCTTGCAACCGATTGTTGCATAATTAACGATTTTGGACAAAGCTGTAAATAAAAACCATTTGCCGTGCATTGTGTTTATCAGTTCGTGTGGGTTGCGTTTCGTAAATGCTAAAAATAAATCGCCGAGCGCAAAAGTTGATTTATGCGACGCACGTAAATTTGCCATTAGGCGGCAGACAAATGTATTACAATTAAATGAAATGGAATCGAAGGGGCAACGAAGGGGCAGCGAAGGGGCAGGCGTCAGCAACAGCTGCTGACGCCCGCGGCCACGCCCACACATATGCGAGAGTTGAGCTAGCAACGCGCACAGGACTTTAATTAAGATTAATTGGGCGCTGGCCAAGCCCAGCGGGTATCATGTAAGCGTGCGTAAGTCAAATGTATCCGACTAGCAGATACTCTGTACGCGAAACAAATAGATCAATAGGGCACACTCTTTCCTGCAGCCCACACACTATGAAAACTTTATTTTTGAAAAGTCTTTAGCAATTAAATGCATATACATATATATTCCAAAAATCAGCCATATATATTTCTAAGCACCTCTGCGCCCATTTTCAGCTTCGTAGCAACGGCGACAGTTATAGAAAAGCCGTAATATCTTTCTGATCTGTCCATACTTGCGCTTATAATCGCAGAGAAAGGCTCGTATCGATGCTTTAATTCGATACTTATCGATATATAAAGAAAGAAAGAGAAGAGAATAGAAGCTAAGAAACATCTCTGCTGCGTATGATATACGAGATAAAATTTCAAAATTTTTCAATTCTTATACATGTAGACAGACGAAACCAGGCTATATCGGCCCAGCTTGGCATTCCAATAAATATATATATACTTTATATACCTCAAAGGGTCGCAGACGTCTTCTATTGCTGTAACATGGCTCTCTTACAAAACCCTTTTCTATAATTTTCAGCGAGTACAGGGTATACAAAGCTAACACATAAGGCAGAAGGACAAAGCGGAAACTTTAAGAAAGTCGCTTGCGAGTTTTATGGGGGTGTGCGTATGTGTGTGCGTTCGTGTGTGTGTATGCGAGGGTAGTGGGTGCTAATGAATGCCATTAACCAGCTACAGAAGCAACAGCCACAAGACTGGCTTCAATCTATTTAGTTTTTATTAATGATTATGCATGCGACATGTGGCAGCAACGTTTCAACTGGGAAAACCGAATACTTTCCACAACTAAATGAAACGCGCATTTCGCATTTGTGTGGCTTTCACGGTAAACTCTTGCTATTTCATATTAAGCAAATGTCATTTACTTGTCGTGTTGCGGACACTATATGAAAACAGCTGCCAGCAGGTACAGCTAGGTAAATGAGCGCAGAGTTTCCTTTTTTTGTTGTTTTGTAAGCTTCACTTTTTGCTGTTAAGTCAATTTTCATTTTCGCACATTTTCCGGTTTGGCACTTTGTGTGCATATCTTGGCAAACAAACATATGAGGTGCCAGGGATGAGAGCAAATGCCTGTTGATAAGACTGAGTGCCAGTCATAAAAAAAAGGAAAGCAGTCTAGGCCAAGCCGAAGCGTTGATGCACTTAAATGTCATGAAATTGAAGGTATGTTAACATTTACAGTAACAGTAACGGCAGCTGTAACATTAACACCAAGGATAACAGTAACATTGCGAGTGTCTGTTATGTTAGCACTAACAGTAGCTATAAGTGCTTAAGTTAAAATTAACAGTCGCATTCAGACAGGGATCCAAAAGGGTAATTGCAGCAGTAAAAAAAAGCAGTAACAGCAACAGTTATATTAAATGAATCATAGCCAAAAGTCTAGAG